CCCCCAAAGTCCAACCCTTACCTCACAGTCGGTGGGGGGGTGTAAACGGTAGTGTCAGAGCTATGCCGCCCGAACTTCGTTCCTGGCAGGGCCACCCAAGCGGACAGGTCTGACACACGCCCGCTAACAAGGGCTCTGGTGAAAATCCAAGGAGCATCTGCATCGGTAACCGGCGGCTTCTGGTCGTTCCTGTCTCTCTGCGTCTGTGGGAACCCAGCGGCAAGCAAGAACATTATCCGAGTAGGCCTGGGTACCCTACTTCTGTAATTTATCCCAAGAATCTTCTTCTCATAATATATGGTGCACTCTCCCGTCGAAGCAGCTTACGGTCAAATCACGCTGAAACACCGGTTCTCGTACGATCACCGAAGTTAAGCAGCGTAGAGCCAGGTCAATACTTAGATGGGGGACCGCTGGAACACCTGGTACTGTAAGCCCCCCAAAGTCCAACCCTTACCTCACAGTCGGTGGGGGGTGTAAACGGTAGTGTCAGAGCTATGCCGCCCGGAACTTTGTTCCTGGCAGGGCCACCAAAGGCAGACAGGTCTGACACACACGCCCGACTTAACAAGGGCTCTGGTGAAAATCCAAGAAGCGTCTGCAGATCGGTAACCGGCGGCTTCTGGTCGTTCCTGTCTCTCTGCGTCTGTAGGAACCCAGCGGCAAGCAAGAACGTTATCCGAGTGAACCTGGGTACCCTACTTCTGTAATTTATCCCAAGAATCTTCTTCTCATAACAGGAAGAAGCCGGCTCAATCTGCCCAGGGTGAATGCCGCATCAGTACAGTACAGTACAACAACCAGAGAGCTAACCTGTGATTTATACTTCAATATGCTGAGTAGACCTTAGTTGTAGTCTCTGGGAGAGATTACCTAATCTAGCTTTTTCTTATTAATCATTTCATCCCAAGCAAGGCAATAAATAAAGTTACTAAGACACAATGAGTTACTGAGAGAAAAAGAATATAAAAAAACATATTAAAACATTAAGGAGGGAGAACAGTAACAAAAAAAGGAATCAAGAAGACTGTAGATAACACGACTAAAATTGCATTTAATTTTTTGAAGGTTAAACTGGACAGCAAGAAGCCAGAAGAGATTTCTGCAAACAATAAATGTGACAGGAAACTGTTAGAATAGAACTAAGAGTTAAATAATCTGGCTTCATTTTTTTTTAATCATTTCACCCCGAGCAAAGCGATGAAGCAACTAAGGTAGAGAGGGTTACTGAGTGTGAAAGAATATAAGAAAAAGAAAAATATTATTTAGGAGCAAGAACAATAAAAGAAAATTAATTAAAAAAACAGAAGATAACATTGCATTTACCATAGAAGAAAGTAATATTTATTGTATGGAATGTATAAACGTGGCACAAGGCCCAAATGGGAGAAGGCCAGTCTTCATCAGTCTTATACTTAAACTTAGCTACTCACAATCAAACTTGACACAATTTTTCTTACACATTTTCTTTTTATGTGCCATGTCCTTTCAGAATGTAGGCAATCATGGCTCTTCACCTCCCTCTATCCATTGCAGCTCTCAACAAGCTCCTTCCCTCTGCTTCCTCCCCCAGACCACGTTCTGTCATCCACTTGCTTAAGTCTGCCAGGTATGTCACACATTGTTTTCCCTTGTCTCTTTTTCTCTCTATTCAACCCATGAGTATCAGATTCTCCAGGCCCTCCTTCCTCATTATGTCCCAGAAACTTCAGCTGCCTCTTCCTGATGTTAAGTATAAGCCTCCTCTTTGTTTGCATCCTCTCTAAGACCTCATTGTTGCTCACATGCTCAGTCCATGATATTCTCAGCATCCTTCTGTAGAACCACATCTTTGCTGCCTCGAGTCTCTTTTTCATATTTGAGGAAATCATCCTATAAAGAAGGACAGCTCAGTATTCTTTTCTTTGTTACCAAAGAAAGCCTTCTATCTCGCAATACTCTGCCCAGCTTTTGGAATATGTCCTTCACCATCCCAATATGCCTACGGATCTCAGTGTCACCCTTACCATCTTCTATCATAAAGCTTCCCAGACATTTAAACTTCCATGTCTGCTTGATTTCAGTGTTCCTAACCTGCAGATCACATTTCGGGCTCATGCTCTTACTGCTCAAAAAAAACATATTCTTACTTACCATTCTTACTACAGCCATCATAATACCTCAGATTCTAAATGAGGTAATTTCATCAGAACAGTTACCATGAAAGTATTTATAGAAAAGGCATGGATAAACTATGTTACAGAGGTGGGAAAGTGATTGAAGCTGAGATGCCAGGTCAGGACAAATAACATAGAAGATTCTTCTTTGTATTTTATCAATAATCTCTAAATAGATAGTAGAAATACCAGACTATCTGTGGCAGCAATATTCAAAACATTCAAAGCATGGATAGATTGATAAATATACAATATAAGAGTGCTCAATATCAGAGACACAATGTTTTTAAATGCAGACCGTATAGATCTATGTGCTGCTGTAGAAAATAAATAAGTAAAATATGTTAATAAATAAAATAATAAATTTAAAATAATTATAAAAAATAAAAAGAAATTATAGCCAAGTCTAATAGACTAAAAGATTAAACTGAACAAAAAAATGGGAAGGGTAGGATTCCTTCTTCATCAACCTCCCTTAATCCTCAAGTGACCTATATATATATATATATATATATATATATATATATATATTGAGAGAGAGATGAAAAGGGAGTAGTGACACATTGTGTTAACATAAATTGAAGCATGAAAATGACTGACCACATAAATATTAATTTCTATGCTCACTCTGTCTGTATCTACAAATGCTGAATATACCTGTATGTATGCATATATATATATATATATATATATATATATATATAACCTAGTGAGCCAGAACCTACCAACCAAGATTTTACCTAAATAAAATATAGGTATTAAAATAATAATAATATATATATATATATATATATATATATATATATATATATATATTAATCATTTCATCCCAAGCAAGGCACCAAAGCCACTAAGATGCAGAAGGTAACTGAGTGTGAAAGAATATAAGAAAAAAAAATTATTAAGCCAGAAGTGAGTTGCGAGAAGTGCATAGAACATATGGCTACATGTAGCCATTTCAACTGTAAAAGGATGAGACCTTACTGTCAACCTAGTACTGCACTTAAATTCATAAAGTCTAAGTACCATAGAGAAAAGTTATTTTTTTACAAACGAAAGAGAGAAAGAAAAATGATTTCTTCAAATAAATTCAATTTTACTATCAAGTCCTTGAAGAATGGATGCAGTCTGTTTGAAACTTAGAGAAGGTACAGATAAATGAATATTTAATGTTTGAGGAAACATCCTGTTGGGAGTCTGTTCCATAGAGCAGTAGTTTATGGGAAGAAGTTGTTTGAGTAGGTACAGATAAGTGAACATTTACTAGTAGTTTAAATTTTTTTACAGTAGGGTTCACCATGTACAAGGTTTGGGTGCCTCGCAAGGAAGACATTTATGTTAAGGGGTAGTTTATATAGATAGGAGTGGAAGATAATGGTTGACTATAGACTTGAACAGGTTAAGATTGTAATGATCAGAGAAACATCCACTTGGGAATCTGTTCCACAGGGCAGTGGTTTGTGGGAAGAAGCTGCTCAAGTGGAACTTACTTCTTGCCTGCCATTAGAATATGGTGAGAATGTGGATGATTTGCTATTATATAAGTGCATGGTGGGTCCTAGACATAAAGGTCAGACCTGGTGGAACAAGAAGATGCACTTTCCATGGTAGTAGTGACAGAGCAGTGAGACTATATATATATATATATATATATGTCTGATTCAATAAATTATATACATTATGTCTGCTTATTTTTATCATAATCCTTTCATATTCATGAATATTTTTCCATATATTACAATTAATATACGAAAAATATTTATGAATATGAAAGGATTGTGATAAAAATAAAGCAGATATAATGCTTGTAATTTATTCAGTCAGACATGCCTAAAAGAAGATTTGCTGCCTAAATACACAAGTATATATATATATATATATATATATATATATATAATTAACAAATCGGAGGCTTCAAAAACTCTATTAATATTTTATTTCGCGAGACCGATAAAATTCGATTTCGTTTCATCAGTCCTTGAAGTTTCAAAACAATGAAAGGATTCAAAAAAAAAAAATAACGAAACAAAAAAGCAAGATTAACGGAAGTAATGACAAGAGGAAAAATTTATGTTAAAATGATGTAAATATATTATTTAGAAACCTATATTTATATACACACATAATTATTTAATAGAGTTTTCTAAATAAAATTTCTACATTTGCCTTGATAAATCCCTTGAGGAATGAAACACTTTGGCATAAAAGTTTTTCCTTTTGTCATTTCTTTTGTTTTTACTGTATTTGCAGATACATTTATTTATATTAATTTTTGCATTCACACACACACACATATATATTTATATATATATGTTTAGATATATATTTTAAAAAAGCTGCATTTCAAATATATATCTATTTGTTCATATATATATATATATATATATATATATATATTTAGGCAAATGCTACCTCTTATTTAAATCTATATCTTCCCATAATGTCCATTTAGAGACAAGCTCAAGACCCCAATTTCATTGATGGAATATGAAAATGGCCAAATATCATATTCATTCCTGTCTCATTTTGTTCTTCTTCATTGGCTTGTATTCTTACAGTACAACTATTCATAAATTCTGTGACACTCAATCATTCCTGCTGCCTTTCTGTAGATATTAAATTGTTTGACTGGCAGTCTGTTTATACTTTCCAAAATGATTAACACTCTCTCGGATTATCATGTACATATATGTTCTTTCGGTTGGACAATCTTAATCAATAAACAGTGGCATAGACATTCATATTTACATGTTCCTCCTTAAACATCTTTGGAATTTATTTTACATCAGGTGTTTCACTATTTCATAGTCAAAAATTTGCTGAATATGTTTATGATGTTTAATT